CCCCAGCTGCAGCAATAAAGGAATGTGATGCCTGCCTTCGCCCCTCCACAGCTGATCGATCCAGACTCAATCCCATCTGACTGTGCACTGCTCCCAAATTGAACAAAACTGCAGCTTTCTCTGCGGCAAACCAAAAAATAAAAAGCTAGATTACTAATATAACAAGATGATACTAACTAAGCATAAATTTGACTTCTGTAAATTCATAAGATCGCCATATCATATTGAGAAGGTACATGTTTGAATTATAATGATCATTCAGATATTGAAATGAAACTAATTATTAGTAAATACCTTTGCCCTGTTTGGTTTTGGACTTTCTACTTATATAATCACTGTTTTCTATTAAACTAGACGTCCAAATAGAACGGTAAGTTACCAGTGTTGCTAAAGGCTCAAAGCCCTGAAACTCGGTAAGTCCAGGTTGTGCGCTTCACCTCACTTAATTGGCTCTTTAGTGTAGGCGTCAAGTTGCTAAGGCATGTGCACTTCCATTGATGGTGATTGGTTCTGTATTAAAGTGCACAACATCATATATATAGCTTAAGTTTCACTCTTTTGTCCAGATAATTATTGTTTGTGTTTGCAGTTACATAATTTTTTGCTATTTTTGTTTTTCTCCGTTGGCGCTTTTCTTCGCTAAAGCTCATGCTTTAATTGCACTTTGCGCTTAAAGTTCCAACAAACTTTGGCGCTTTTTCGCTTTTCACTTTTGACTACTCTGTAATAGTTACTCTTTGAAAATATCAACTTTAGAAACTAATCAAAATATTTCAATGAAACTGATAGAGTCCATTACCTAATAACAGCATTTCTAAATAATCAGATCCAGTTTCCAGAATCCAAACCAAACAGGACCAACCTCCAATAATCTCTTTACCACTGCGACAGGCGATTAAAATTTTAATCTTTTTAAAGTTTAAATCTATTCAAGTTTTAATCTCTCTGGAGCAAATTCCAACGTTATCCCAAATCCAAATTCCAAGATCCTTATTTCATTTGGAAAGGAAAGTAAGACCAATATATGTAGCAGCTTAAAATCAAATATGACGCAATTTTAAGTTCTACTTCTGCATTATAAGTTGTACAATAAACAAGAAGCAAAGGAGAAGGGAAGAAAAGGGAAAGTATGAACAATGTAGAAGCTCAAAGCAAGTGTGAAGCAATTCTAAATTGTAATTCACGCATTGCCTATTGTACGCATAATTTGAAGTCCAATCAAATCAAAATTTACTTCAATATACCTAGATGAATATTCTGCTGCACAGCTTTCTGCTTGTTCTTGAAAGTATCGTACCAAGTAAAAAACACGGAATTGATGTGATCTTTATCAGGTGAGATCGGAAAACGAGATTCAACAGAACAGAGGGCTTTATAGTAATTTTGCAGAATGTCACGACGAGCAGGGAGCGAATCGGCCGGAACACGCTCGATTTCGGAGCGGTATTGCTTGAGAGTTTGGAGATCATCTTCGAGGTTTTGAGCTTCCCGTTCGGAGTAATTGAAAGCGATGTAGTTTCGTAATGGACGGTAGAGATCGAGTGATACGGTTTTCTTCTCGAAGATTGCTAACATGACGTTTGTCGCCGCCGTTGACGACGGTGACGCCATGGTTTCCGGTGACCTTTTGTAGCAGTGATGATTTCAATAGATACAGAGTTTGTGTTTAGAGCTTATGCGATGAATTCAAGCGCGTATTTTGTCCCAAATTTTCCTTTTGTTTCCTTATTGTAAATTTTGACAATTTCTATAAATGTTGTTTGTTTTCCATTCCCTCTTTTTTTCCACCTATAAATGTTGTTTGTTTGCTTAGCTTGAAAGGAAGATATTTTACCTTTTATATTTTAGGGGGCAAATGAAGAAATAAACACTAACGAAGACCAAAATTCCTTTTATATAATGATCTAAAAATATAATTTATGAAAGCACTTTAGAAACTTAAAATTTTGAGTTTAAGTTTCACATTTTAAAATTATAATTTACTGGGTGATTTTGACCAAAATTATTGGATATTATCGATTCCGTAAATTGAACTTTAATTATGTCGTAAAGTATTTTCTATTTTGACTAAGAATAAAAGATCACATGAATACCACCATGTCTCCTGATGATAAGAAGAAGACCAATGAGTTAATAACAGATTAATGGATATAGACCTTAACTTCTAAATTCTAATTTATAAAAATATAAAAATGTATATAGTAATCATTTTTGCTAAATTTCTCTTAAGTTAATTCCAGATTTTTTTTTATGTTGGAATACTTTCTTATTTAATCGCGCTACTTCCGAAAATGATAAACTAGCTCTCATGTAGCTATAGATTCCATATATGTATAAGATTATTTTCGTCTAAAATTAATTATTTTACTGCCTTAAATATATTTACTTCTATAAGATCGAAATTATTCCAGAAATCAATGACAATAAAAATATATTTCCTATTTCATGATCAAAAGCTACTATAGTAATTTTTCCACTTGTTATTTATACGTAAGTTTATAGTAGATTAAGTTACTAAACTGATAAACAAGGATTGTAACAATAAGAAATAAGCAGTATCGAGCTGCCAAGCATTTGATCGCGATAAACAAGGATCGTAACAAAGAGTAAGCATTCCATTCCTCTCTTTTCTATTTATTTTGGTTTCCCGCCCGGTAGTTCGACCGATCTGAAAATTTTATTTTGTGCATCACACAACTGATAACTGACACTACTTGTGTGGAGTCTTTTTTTTGTTCTCACAATTTTGTGGACCCAGAAATTTACGAATTCAAAAGTATAAGATATGAATCCATAAATTTACGAGATAAAAAAGAGAACTCACACAACTAATGTCCATTTTTTTAGGCACAATATAAAACTTTTCGACCCATCTAATTAAGTTGAAGCGCAGTTTAAGACCAAACCAAGCCCAATTAGCCTTTAGCTTAATTGAGCTAGTGTTTTGATCAATTAGGACCAATTGTCAAGTTCCTAACTCCTACTACTAATTTACTATTATTGAAAAAAAGAAATAAAAAATGGAGTAATAATTTCGAAAAGAAAAAAGGAAAAAGAGAAAGTTTGAACCCATTTCCTAGCAACCCGTTTTTACACCGCGTTGGAGTTCACAACACGCAAATAATTTCAAATTCATCCCTCTTAGCCCAATTTTTTGTTTTTCCTGTTTTCTATAAATAGCCCCAATTCCTCAAGCTTTTCGAACTCTCTAGAAAATTGAGCACCTCCTTTCTCTCAACGAGTTCAAGCCCCATCTTCTTTTTTCAAATCTCCCAGATTCTTCTCTTTTCCCATTGCTCTGGTATGTCATCTATAAACTTTAGCTACTTAAAAATTCATGCTTTCTTGTTTACTTTTTGGTGGATTTTATTTGGTGCCTTTACTAGCATTCTAGGGTTTTAATCTGGTGCTTCAATTTATGTTGAAAATCTTGTGATTTAAAGTCTGAAGAGTTTGATTTAACGTAAATCGGATAATACTGAGGTGCGGCTGGATCTTTTTCTGTAAAATTTGGATTTTTGGTGAATTTTATTTGATGCCCTTACTAGCATTCCAGGGTTTTATTGTGTTGCTTCAATTTATGTTGAAAATCTTGTTTTTTTTATTTTTTTTATTTAGAGTCTGATAATCGAATAATACTGAGCTGGGTCTGGATCTTATTTTCTGCAAAATTTGGATCCTGTTATATGAGTTATTGAAGTGACTTTTGGGTTTTTCAAGAGAACAGGCTTTAAATTATGCACACAAAAAAAGAAGAAGGGAAAAAACACTTTTTTTGTGTTTGTTTTGGGTTGGAAAGAAAGTGGTTCGGGAAATGGGGTTTGTGTTTAAAATTGCTTGGTCTTTGTTCGGCCTAGTTGATGCCCTTTAAAAAATTGAATCTCTAGGGTTCTAAATTTTCGCATTCAGCCTATTACTCTTTCATTATTGAGTTTCTGTTTTTGTTATAAAAAATTCAACCTGAGAGCTGATTATTTTCTAGAGATTGTCTGGGTTGATATGTATTCTCTCTTGAATCTAGAAAGCCGGTGTTCAGTTTTAATTTAGAGATGACAATTGGCTAGCTGTGAAAATTGTATAACCTCTTTTTTTGGGGTTGAATGCAGATTCTTTGGGAAGTTGGTTGGAGGGGTAATTTGAGCTCGAGAATTGGATTTGGTCATCAATTTCATTGTATAAGGTAAGAAACCTGTTCCAGTTTGTAATTCTTTTCCTTTTTCAGTTTTGTGTTATTTCATCCATCAATTCTAGCTTCATTTGAACAGCTTGGAGAGGTTAGTTTAGTAAAATGGAATATTTGTCCAGTTGATAAAGGAAAAAATCTAAAAGTATTTGGAACCTGTTTATGATCAAAAGTATACTATGAGATCTTTGTTATTTTGGTCTAGATTTATGGTCCAATGCAGTGTATTTTGATCTTGTTTTGAAAGAGATCCAAAGCAGTGCCTATTTGTTTCATTTATGGTCTGTGTGTTTTTCATTCAGTTAATCCACCATAGGTATTTGTTATGCTTGTTTCTCAAGTTTAACATCGGATTGACACGCTCTTATGCAAAGTAGTTTGATAGAGACGCGAATGGGTGTCAGCCAATGACAGTGATTAATATTGAATCATATGTTGTGTTACACTGTTATAGGGCTTCGCTTGGTGGTTGGCAGCTTTCGATGTTTGTAATTGTTTGCCATATCGATGATGCACAATACTGAATCTGGCTTATGCCAGTTTATTCTCAAATAATATGCTAATGAAAGGACATATCTAATTCTAAATATGAGATTTGAGCCTGTGATATATCCAATCTGATATTGCTGTGACAAATTATTTTTTGCATATCATTAGTGAATGTGGAATTATAGTCTGATACTATATTGCAATTAAATTTTATTTGCAACCTGAAGTCTCTCTCTCTCTCTCTCTCTTTGTGCATCATTTTCCTAATTGTCCACATTCCTTATTATTCTCTTGGTAGGTTTTCTTTGGTTAATAGCATCATATATGCATGCTTTCACTATAGGCATTTGCCGTTAAATTGGTTATTTTTGTTAAGTTTGAATTACATTTTACTTCATGTGAAATATGCTCTCGTTCAAAGGTGGTAATAATGGTGGAAGAACTAACATTGTTTCCTTTCTCTTCTTTGAGATGCACTTCTGGTCATCATCATACCAAAATGCAGAATTTTGTTTGTCTTTTACCTCTGAATGGATGCCAAGAAGTTCATGCAATTGGTCGAGGAGAAAAAGAAGAGAGCTCTTGAGAAGAATGAAGCCCGCTTGAAATGGGAGCAAAAACTTGAAGCTGCAGCAAGAGCAATATCTGATGCTGAAGCTAGAGAGAAAGCCAAGGCAGCTAAGCATAAAAGGAAATCGGACTTGGAGTCTGATAGTGCCAGTGACACTGATAGTGGATATGAAGGGAAAAAATCCACCAAAAAGCACCACAAGAAACATAGGAAGCACCATAGCTCTGAGTCTGGTGATTCGGATAGGAAGGAGAAGAAATCCAAGCGAAAGCCTAAGAGAAGATCCTCCGATTCGAGTGATGATAGCAGTGAGGAATATGATGGTGATTCAGAAGAAGAGAGAAGAAGAAAGAAGCGGGGCCACAAGAAGCGCAGGCATCATGATAGACGCGCAGATTATAGTTCCTCAGACTCTTCAGATGATGAAGATGTGAGAAGAAGACGCCATTCAAAGCATCACAAACGCCATCGACGATCACACTCGGATGGTTCAGAGTCTTCAAGTGATGATGATCACGTTGCAGCCAGGAAACGAAGCCACACAAAGCATCATAAACGTCAGGGAAGGTTTGACTCAGATGCTTCTGTCTCTTCTAGTGATGAAGAAAAACTGAACTGCAGTAATCACGGAAAACATAGGAAATGTCATCGCACGTCCCATAGTCATGATTCAAGGTCCTCAGATTCTGAAGCTTTTAGGCGTGATAGAAGTAGATCCCTAGGTAAATCTTCTGATGAGAATGAGGAACTAGATAAAAAAGAAAAGCACAGGAAGAATCATCATCGACATGGCCATCACCGTCATCACCGTTCCAACCATAAGCATCACCACTCAGATGAAGTGTCCAAGGACAAGCACCAATCCCACGGCGAGGAAGAGAAAAATGATGAGCCAGTGGAACGTGGTTCTGAGGTGCGCAAGGAAAGTGATGGCAATGGTGCTCATGATATTCAGAATGCTTAGGATGTTATGACTGCTTGCACTCAATTCATGTTGTTTTCCATTTAACTTCATTCTGTGGAGACTGTAAACTGCCATTGCGAATTATAGTTGTGCTGTAGTTTGTTTCGTATTTCATTAATACTGTTGAATCTTTCTATAGACCAGCACATTTATGATACTAGTGATTCTGCTATTGATTAACAGAGTAACATCGTGTGGCGAAATATTCCCTTTTTTTTAGTGGCACTTGCATGTAATTATCAGTTTTGCTGTGATTATATTGGGGTGCTTAGTGTTGTTTTGATCAGTACGCTAACCAAATCACAAATCAATATGATTGGTGGAATATGACATGTGGCTAGTGCCTCTCTTTAGTCAATCATAAGCAATCGAGCAGAAATAAATTATTCTCTTTTTATTTATTTGATATGCAAATTAGCTCTGAGCGGAGTCACTGTTGTGATTGTGTTAGAGTGATAATCTATCAGGAATAACTCTCATCCAATCGAATCCATTGAGTATCAACGACAGTTCTATGAAATTTGTGAATTCTCAAGATTTTATACCATATTGCACCAGAAATGGTAAAAAATATTCTTAGTCAATAATTCAATACAGCAACTTGATGCCTTGTGGCTTGTATATGACAAAAAGAAGGCGATTGGTTACAGGTCCAGAGGCGCTAATTACTAGCCTGCCTACTCAATAAAACAGAAACAAGAAAGGACAGTTGCATTTCAGCTTTCGCCCTCTTCAGTCCTGTTTATCCACCATTGATTGCATTAAAAGATGCTTCACCTCCTTAAAAGGAGCAGTCACTGAGAATTGGACTTTGTATAGGCTGACGAGAAGAGTCGTACATTATGCTGTTCCATGCTGGATTCCTTGTAGCCAGCAGGTGAAATTCAATGAATTGGGGTTTTATAATAGACAATAATACAACACGACGAACCAAAAATTATTTTTGTTTAGAAGTTCTTCAGAATCTTCTCAGTTGAGACTCCATCTGCTACAAGAAGAGCAGTCACCTCCTGCAAGAAGAGTCGAGGGATACAAATTGTAAATCTGGGCCCATGATCCAAAACATATTGATGCTTATGTTCTTGAAAGTGAAAATTTCTTCACACATGTCAGGTAATAGTACATGGCAATCGTAAACCAAGTTTGTTGAACTTTCAACAAGAACAAAGTAGAAAATACTCTTTCCTACAAAATAAAGCAGTTCACTATAAGTAGGCTAGAAGTTATAACAATTTCCGGCTTATGGATTCTCTCACTCTGATTTTACTAAACAGTGAGTTGCAGAAATTCTACTTGAAAGTTGTCTAATATGTTGTTTGAATATTTTGGTCACAAACTTCATTAACTTTCAGTTAGAGGAACAAGTCGCTAAGTTTTACTCCTACTTTCTCATCAAACGTCTTCAGATATCAAATAACAGTTTTGAGTGTGAATAGGAATATCTATCACTAGGATATATTGATCTAATTCAAACAAAATTTACTTCCGTTCGGGAAGGAGAAGAATAACAAATTTCCCTAGTTTCCTGCTGCATATTTGGAAAAAAGCAAGTTATTCCCTGCATAAGATAAAAGGAGTACAATTCCGTAGACATCGCATCTATCTACCAGATCATGCCAATCCGAAGCTGTATACACACTTAGCGAAATGCACATGCTAATGCCAGTTACAAAGTAGACCTTTCTTAATGGTATCTAAAATCCTACGGGCTTAATCCCATACAAACAGCAAGAGTTCCAAACATACTCACCTTAATAAATGGACAAACAGAAAGAGATCTGCCTGTTGGAACCAGTACCCAATAATTTTTGATTAGGCAGCCCCTGGTTTCTGAGTGCCACCTTAATGGTGATCACCTGGCAGGCATACTCAGTTCGCTCCATTCAGCTCCCACTCAACTGCATCAGGGAACTTTTCAGTCCTTTAGTAGGCACTAAGTAATCATTTAACCCAGAAGTTTCTTTGCTTACATAAAATGCCCAAGTGAATATATTGACAACCGCACCCCAACCCTCAGCCACACTAAAGATAAAAAGGAAACAGATTCAAGCACCTAGTATCAGTACATAACCAAGTCTTGACGAAACAATTGCAGCTGCTCAAGCACCAATTGATCCATCTCATAATAGCAACGTGCAAAAGAGAGTGTAACCAGCACGAAGAAGCACTATAGGTAATTAATACAAACTATATGCTTCCACCTTCCTTGCCACCTTTTCTTGAGCCGAAGGTCTATCGAAAACAGCCTCTCTACCTCTTCATGTAGGGGTAAGGTCTGCGTACACACTACCCTCCCCAGACCCCACCCCACCTGTGAGATTATACTGGGTTTTTTGTTGTTGTTGTTGTTGTTGTTGTATATGCTTCCAAAAGCATTCAAGGGTTAAATAATTCATCAACATGGAGAAGAGGGATAATTGAGTGCTTCAGTCTCATGAGTACAAATCTCCAAAATGGAATTCAAGGAAATATGGTTATACCATTCCAACAGATCTAAGACTAAAATAACCTAAAGTTTTCTAATGACCTTCTGTTGAATTATGGTACTACTAGAATTTTAAACTATTAGAGGTGGGACACTTTTATTTATCAAATAATTTGTTTAATATGCTCCACAAGTACGGTTGAATCCTTTTTTTCTTTTTTGCTGGACAAACATGTTGTAATGCTTTGATGATGGGCGAAGGTGAGACTTAAGACTACGGCCAGTAGGTTCGATATGTACCTTGTTGAATTACGGATACCACACCTCAATATAGCCGCATGCACTATAAATTAAGATTTGTAGCACCTATTCAAGAGCTGGGGAATTGACTTCAACAAGCCCTTTCTCGCTCTTTCTAATGTCTCGGGCAAAGGCAGTGCAAGTGAGCCTAATAGAACCCTATTCTCTTTATCACTCAACATAGCTCATGACCTGGCACGAAAAAATATCTTAGATGGGCTGATGCGAATTTTGATCTATCAACAGAAGTTTCATTCCAACCACAGTATCAAAATCCCTTTTTCAATGAAAGTTGTAGTCGTGTCCTTCAATCTTTCTTTCTAGAGTGAGTCAGGCGTAAACTTTCCAAGAGGCAATACTAGTATTTAAGGACATCCTTCAAATGGATTCCCAAGCTACGTGATTCGCAGAGGGCTAATTATAAGTTCCCTAGGTAACATCTAGTGCTTTCAAAGGGAAAATGGGTTGTTAGAGAGCAAGAAAGAGTTCCTATTTCTTCTCAAAGCCTGGGGATAACTCAATAATCTTACATTGCAAGTATACCAACCGCATGAGTTCATTTGGTCGTACTAGTCTAGACGTAACCTACTATATGAAAGGTTATCCGATAAACCTTACCGTCATGAATTCTGGTGCTATCCGCCAAATCAATTGCTAAACGTGAAAACAACTCTAGCTTAATTGAAGCTAAATCTCTAAAATAGTACACTCACTGGATTGCTTGATAAGAAAAAATGTCATGGAATGTATTTCATGATAACATGATGTAACTCACAGGCTAATACTACACAACCGTCTACCAAAGTTCCACATCAACAATGTTCGACTTCAGTGTTGATCATACCGTTTTTCCCCCTTCTCTAGGCGTCATAGCACCAACTTTCCTAAGATATTAGTCTCATTTCAATTTTCAAACTGACCAAACTCATGTCCAAAACAAAATATATCCAAAGAAGTCTGTCATTAAGTGAGTCCTAAACCACTAAGTTCTACAATCCTATTTCACAGAAATATATCCAAGCAAGCCTCTTGTCTCATGAAAAAAGATTTTCTATTCAAATTTTATTACGCGAAAAGTCTTAAGACTCACAATTTAGCATTCATTCATATTATAGTTCTTATTCAATCAAAATTCAACTTATTTTTTCCTACTTTAGTTTTTAAGTTATTGACTACTAGTTTCATTAATCGTCCGAGTATGAGGTAAAATACAATGAGAATCACAAAAAATGAGGAACACTAAATTAATGAAGGCAATAGGATACGAGAAAAGCAGTAGCATTTTGCAGAAACTACCAAAAAGCATCTCATGGATTGTGTAAAGCCACAAAGTATTTTTGGGAGTTCACCACTTAACAGTTAAATGAAGGGTAGATCCCCGTGCACTGTTTTCCTTGCAAAAGACAACATTGGCAGTACACCAAAATCCAAATAGGCTTTACAACCAGCCAATGTTATAAGTCAAGAATGCATATCTGGCAAAGCCATCGTAAAATATCAAGTACATCAACCACACAAAATTATCACACTAACTGATGAGAATCACTTCTTTTGCTTGCCTTCTTAATCATCTTCTAATAATATATTCTACAACATAAAATTTTCCCATCCATTGGATGTAAGTTAAAAGACTAATTTCTTTACAGTTGTGGATCCCTAGCTCAGAGTTACTGTTGAGCACAGCTTTGTAGCAATAGTGGTCTACATTAATGCTGGTCAATGTCAAAATTATCAGTTTTCTTAATGCTAATCTACAGTTAACAAAGCAAATATTTGTTTTTGCTCTAGAATTCTTGGGATCAAATCTCAACTCTCTTGATTCTAAGATGAATAGAAACGTGGAGGTCAAGTAGCTGTTAAACAAAAACAAGTGCAAAACAAGAAAGACTATTGGCCTCTCCAAAATGGATAAAGAGCAAGGAAGAGCACAAAATATGATGAACAAATACTTTAAAGTAAACTAACTACAAACCTCAGCCATTTGCTTTTGACCACAGAGTACTGCTCCAGTGGATTGAGGACTAAAAATGTTTTTAGCTCGGGCAAATGAGGCCTGCAAAAGCAGATGGTGAAACAAATTTTATTGTTGAGTAACAGATAAAATCAAAATAAGATTATTAGAAGATACAAATGCAAACATATCATTACGACATTACCTGAACAAAGCCACGTTCGCCTGTCCAAGCATCATCAGGCTGAGACAACACCGGCACAACCTTTACCCCAGAGGATGCCCAGTTCTCAAACCTATCCTATAAAAGTAAAAGGACGAAGAAATCAAACGACAGATACAACAACAACAACAACAACCCACTAAAATCCCACTAATGAGTCTGGGGAGGGTAGTGTGTACGTAAAACTTACCCCTACCCCGAAGGGTAGAGAGGCTGTTTTCGAAAGACCCTCGGCTCTCAAACGACAGATACACTTTATCAAAATATCAAACAACAGATATAAAGTTTTATCTT